GGTAGCGAGTCAGCGTCGGCCCTGCCAGGTCAGACGCCGGTCAGATTGTCTGCTGTCCCTGGCACTGCAGGGCTGCGGAGTCGATGGATTTTCAGTGACTCCCACTCCGACTCCGGATTTCAAAAACCAATTCCGACTTAGACTCTCCGAGTCCGAACAAAACTGTTGTGTTTACTCCGACCGACTCCAACTCCGACTCCCAAGCTCTGCCAGATCTGCGGAGTCGATGGGGATTTTCGGTGACTCCGACTCCGACTCCAGTTTCCGAAATAGACTCCGATTCCGAGCCCGGTCAGAACTGTCGACTCCGACCGACTCTGACTCCGACTCCGCAGCCCTGCCTGGCAGGTCGGTTGCCATCGCTGTGAAGTCGGGGCCAGGTCGGCGCCGTTCCTGGTGGGGGTCAGTGGAGAGTGACGTGCGGTAGCCCCGCCCGGCCGGGCAGCTGTTCCGGAAGCCACGAGCCGTTCTGGACACTGGCCGCCCAGCAGTTTCACTGGTGATGAAACGCACGGAACGCGCTGACCCGCATGGGTTGCGTAGGGATGAACGGAGCAACTCGGTATCTCTGGATCTTGCGCAACTGGCATGAAGTCTGCCCCAGCAAACAGCATTGAAATGGGAACAGAGAAAATCAACTCTGCCAACTGTCCAGCAAATGGCGTGTGTTGACGCCGTTATCGTAGTAAATATCCTTGTTAGAAGTATGCTGCCTCAGCACCACCAAAGATGAGTGTTTTGTTCGAGAAGTACGAGTAAACGAACTCACGAGGCGCCGTACACCGAGTGGGAGACAAGAAAAGATAAACAGTATGTAGACGACCTCTGATCCCGAGAAAAACTCACTCCAAAAACATGCATGAAAAACACGAGCCAACAAATAAACCAGACGGCGATAGATTCGTCAGCCCACCATCGCAGTCGCAATCGGACAGCACATGTTATCAGGGTGGCCTCAGCCGGATTAGCCCCGATCCGCGTGTAATCCGGTGCGCAGCCGCTGTATCGGCGGAGTTGGATTCGCCGGAGACGGGCCCATCCCGCCTGCAGCTCCACCCGGATAGCGGCGGCGCGTCCTCCGCCAACACCGATGACGTCCTCACCGCCCTCTGTCCTATGCCGAGAGCCGGCGATACCGACACGATATCCTCCTCCCTCCCAGCACGACCCCCTCTCACCTGAGACGGCCCCACTGGCGGCGGCTGAGGCTCCGGCAGGGCGGCTCTCACACCGCTGCGCCACCAGCGACTCAGGTGTGACTCAGAGGTCCCGATTGAGCCCTCGGCCGGCGGCAGCGCGATACGCTATCGTACCACCGTCACCGGCGGACAGCAGCCGCGCGCGGACCGACCACCGTGGGTGGATGTCGGTCCTCGGTTCTTGCTCTGTGGTCCTTTGTCCGCGGGTTGGTCCGGTCCACAACCCGCGACCGTCGTACTCTTGCAGCTGCCACACTACGGCAGGCGTCTCCACACACAAACACAAACACGCGACACAGAGGCGCGGGTGTGGCGGGCGGCGGGGGCGCGTTGCCGGCGGCGGCGCGCTGCGGACCGTCTGCGGCGGCAGCTGGAGGCGAGAGCGGCCGGCCGGCCGGCCGGCTGGACCGGGAACAATGCACCTGCGGCCGCCACCGGAGCAGAAAGGTCCGCCGCGCTCAGCCGTGACACCCGCCGACACCGGAAGGCGGCCAGCGGCACGGCGCCGAGCGCGCCCGCCGGGGTCGCACCGCCCGCCGGGGCGCGGAGGGTACTCTCCACAGGGCAGTACCCTCCGAATGGGCCAAGAATGGGCCATCAAATTCAACGATTCCAAAACAGTACAACAAACATTTTCCCACAAACCAAACAATACATCACCAAAACTCACTTTCGGAGGACTTCCAATACCCATAACAAAAACACACAGGCACCTTGGATTGACCTTTTCTAAAGACCTAAGATTCCACGAACACATAAACGCCATCCTTACAAAAGCTAACAAATCCCTCAGTCCATTATATCCCATAGCACGATTCCTTCCCCGAAACACTCTCGACGCAATCTACAAGACGTACATTCGACCACATCTAGACTACTGCGACACTATTTACGACGGACACATTACTATTCACGACACCATGAGACTAGAGACATTCCAAAACAGGGTAGCAAGACTAATAACAGGAGCACTTTTCAGGACCTCTTCTGACAAATTACGTTATGAATTAGGATGGGACAAACTAAAAACCAGACGACAACTTCACCGACTACTACTTTACCACAAACTATCAACACCCGGACGTCAAAATTTACCCTCTTATGTCACCTCTCTTCTACCGAATTCACGACATCAAGCCACACAAAGGACGCTAAGGAACGCCGCCCACCATTCCCAGCCACATGTACGCACAACCAAACACCAACGCACATTTATAACACTCACAGGAAAACAATGGAATCAACTACCAAACTCAATTAAGCATCTTCCCTACAAAGACTTCAGAAATGAGATCAAAGAGCTCATGTGCATGAACAAGCCTCCTCTTTACTACTCATACGGCACCACGACACTTAACACAATGCATACAAGAATACGACTTAATATGACGATACTAAACGAACATAAGTACAAAATACAAAAGACAGATAATCCTAAATGTTCATGTGGCAATTCCCAAGAAAACGTAAAACACTTTATATTTTCATGTCCAAACTACGACCAACAAAGAGACATACTCTACAACAGCCTGCGTCGCATCCTTAACTTTGACCTTAAACAAAAACCCAAATCATACCAACTTGAAGTCCTCCTGCACGGCCGCGGACTCGGTGGCGGGGGCGGTCGGCTGGTGGCTTGGCACTTCCAAAAATTTTTGCAAGAGTCAGGTAGATTTACCGGTGGATACTAAATTACCTATTCTGTTCGCTGAGCCGGGTGGGCCCGCGCCCGTCGCTGGGCACGCGTGGGGGCGGCTGGCTGCGCGGGGCAATCCTAGACACGGCGGCGGCGGTAGTGGTAGTGATACTGGAGATAGTGAAGAGGTCGAGATTTGGCGCCTCGAGATGAGCCCATGGCTTTTGCGCCAACTCTCCGTGATACATACTCGATGTACCTCATGTATTATGTCAATAAACTCCGTGTGTGTGTGTGTGTGTGTGTGGGCAGCGCTGCTTCTTACACCGGGGAACAGCCCATCATCCAGTCTCAATGAATTGTGGGAGATGCCGCGGCAGCAATGCGCCCCATTACGTGTCTTAGCTGCGGGGACTTAGCCAGCAGACTAAACATGTTTTGAAAAACAAATAGTTACGAATGGAAACAATGGTCCATGGGACCTCCCGGTTTCCGAGAGGGCTACCGGAGAGCAATAGGGCACGCGGAATAGGCTCCTCAATCGCCCGGTTCCGAACAGCTAACTCATGCTTGTCTGTACTTACAAGACAGGCGAGCAGGAATGCTTTTGAGGTTCGGCCACTACAGTCTCTCAGGCTGGATCCGCCATCATTGGAGGGCTGTCCGTAGGCATGTTCCCAAATAAGACACCAATTTAAAGGCTAAGGTAATAATAACAACATTAGCGACCTTCGGTACCACCGTTCGCGGCCACTGAAGCCTAGCACCAATGAAAGCTGCCGATAGCAGTGGCCAGCAGCAGGTAGAAAGTAGATAGTCCATTCACAGCCCAGCAGGTAGGATTCAGCCACATTGACCACCAGCTCATGGGGACGATCAAACACTCCAGGGCCGTCGGACAGAGACCGGTGGTTATCAGCACAGACCAGTCGCCAGACCATAGTCTGGTTGTGCACAGTCATACAGCATCGCTTATCGCAGCCATTAACACAAACTAGCAGCCAGAACAAAATGCGAGTCACAACCAAAGAGCGCCAATTGCTGTTCATGCGGACAACATCCCCCAGCACCAGGAGCTAACCACGACTATAACTCACCATCGCCGCATCTCGTTCCATCGCTATAGTCTGTTCCATATCAAGCTTGCAGTCGGAGTTTCTTGGGCAGATCGCTCCTCCGCTCAAGAATTTGCGTCTTAAAATGTAAGAGCTGTATATACAGAAATCACGCACTGCTTTCAGCAAAGCACTTCGGCTGCAAGCTTGAAACGGAACAGAGTATAGCCGATACTGTAGTTAGTGTGTCATCCCTCACCGATCCCGGCCAGACATCCGGAGCACCACTGCCCACCATAGGGCGGTATGGGTCGACGGGACGCTGGGAGCGGGGTTCAAGGCGCGAGCCCGGTAACGGCGCATCCCTCTGACGACCCTCCCCAGGCTCCAGCCGGTCTCTACATGGATCCAGCTGTTGCCGCCTCTCCCAGCCATCCAGAAAGTGAATAGGGCGCCACACGACGGCGTAAAAATGGCACCCGAAGGCCTCAAAATGCTGGCAGATGGGTTGAGATCAGTTGACAGCTCTCAGCTACTTCCTTAGGTACCCCTAAGTCCTTGCATCTAACTGTAAAATCATTTAGTAGTTCCTCCTCATGCATTGTGATGCTTGAAAAAATGCACCATGAAATGAAATACAACACAACCTGAATATGAGCCTAATGAATAAGTATCTAATCATAATGAACATGCAACATTGCTATTAACAAACTCAAAAAGCAAAATTGAGTAGACAAGATGACACTGACACATAAATGTTTGTTTCCAACTGTTGCAAGGATACATTCTGCTCTGTTTACCATGGTTTTCAATTAAGTACCTAAGCATTTTTGCAGCCAAATACTATCTGCAGAGTCAATTGAAAAATAAATTTGCAGATGTCATGCCTGCCAATAAACTGCTACACAAGCAATCACTAATTATTTACAAAGTGGCATGCAGGGTGAAAAACAATCAAGCCAACTTTAAAAATATATGCACCGGGTTTGGATTCAAATAAATCTTCATGGAATGGCCTTTATAATGGATCCTCTATAATAACCATTTGGTTGCACAGTCAATCTATTTACTACAAGGTGAAGGGCACAAGACAGTGGCAAAATTTCTCACCTGAAGTTTAGGCAGCAGGACATTCATTTCCAAATTGGCCAAGTTTTCCTGGAAACATGAGTGGTTTGTTTGTTTATTAAGGCTGAAGCAGACTCTTCCCATATTCAGTAAATCACATGCAAGAGCCTATTCAAATACATCATAGTTCTGCCTGCATCAATCACATGCAGGAGGTGCGTGCGATTGATGCGAGCGTGCTTCCATGTATTTGAATAGGCTCTCGCATGCGCATGTGATTTCCTGAATGCAGAAGTCAGTTTCGACAGTCATATCATAGGCATATCCCATATGAATTTAATTCAGGTGGCAAAAAATTAGCGAAATGGTGATGCCTTCATTTGCAGTAAACCTCACAACTACCATAAAAGTGACACATTGACATGCCATAGCATTGAATCGAGGTACAAACTAAACCATAAAATACAATAGCAAGACATTGATATCAGTGGCCAATGATCAATTGGAATCAGAATAGATGACGCCCTGTTGCTGTAGACTGCAATTTCAATGCTGGTGCAGGTGACCAACAGACGCGCCTCTTCCTCTTCTCAACCTACCTTCGACAATGTTGATGTGCTCAGACTGGTTAAAAAATAGCTACAAACTAAAAGCGCGTAAATGCATCAATCGGAACCTACCACGACGGGATATAGTTTGAACATCGCAACCAAATATACCATCTTGTTCTTGTTCTTGTTGGATTAGGGCGCGTGCAAAATACACTACAATTAGCACCAACATTTCATAAAATCATCTTCGTCACATTTCATGTTGTTTGTTTGTTTTGGTAGTTCAGCAGAAAGCATGTATTTGTAACAGATGCGCCATGAATGAATAAACTTATTTGTTTTTGAGAAAATACGACAGGAATGTATTCCATATGGTAAACAAACATTTCCTTTGGAAAATTGAGTTGCAACAAGTGTTTTCATTCAAATGTTTGATATCTTTTTCACATTTTCATTCATGAAACAACAATAACCCGGTTTACATAGGGTTTGTTGCAAGCTTATATCTCCGTCCGTGATGTTGCAAAAGATGCCAATGGTGCATAACAATTTACAAAATGATCCCCTCTAAATATTTGAAGAACACTGCATCGAAATTATCGCCAAATTAACGAGCTAGAGCCTCGTCAAATATGCTATGTAAACCGGGTTAATATCGAAAAGTATAACTGAGGCACCTTGCTGGCGAAAAAGTAACAAACTATAAACCATTTCTTGGAAATAATTTGTACACGCAAAATTTGACAAAAAACAAAATTTGTTGGTTTGAAAATTGATGAAAGATATAATTATTATCTTTCATGCAAAGTACATGCCTATTTCCGAAATGGACTGCAAAGCTTTTTAAAATGCGATAATTTTTCTGCCTGTTATTCCTGATCTAAAATATTATAAATATTTCTAAAAGACTTATTTAAAAAAATGTAAAAAGCAATGTGTAAAAAATTAGCGAACTAATCATCTACTGAATCAAAATACAGTAAAGTTGCTCAGTTGAGTGAGCGCCTTCCGCTGAAGATCCTTCACGAACTTCTGTCGGCCCGGCAGTCTCGTTCAAGGCGCGCGTGGCTGTTGGGTGCATTTCCGGGACTCTCGTGCGTCAAAAAAGCGTTCCCTGGCCGTGCTTGGATTCAATAAACAGGTTGGTTGTTATTGCGAGTGTTTCATAAACCGGTGTACTCTAAACCGACTCCTCTTTGGCGGGTTGTGCTGCTCATTTTGCGCCGGGCCGGGAATCTTCCCAGTCCCGTGAAGGTGTGGCACCGTTGAAACAGTGCGGCTGTGGGTTATGCGTTGGTCCGCCTATTATTTCTTTGCAGCTGCTGGAGATAAAGTCTTCGCGTCAGAACGTCCTGTGTGCATGCTTTATATTAAGAGTTATGTTAAAAGCTGTGAATGGCGCGAATTGTTTAGTTCATGACCCAAGTTTTTGTGTCAATATCCTTTGCTTTAGATTTTGTCAATTTCCATTGTCTAGCAGATGGTAATGATGAACTGGTGTTGTTTTTGTAGTGGATTTGAAGATACTGCAATATTTTAGCAGAAAATAATGATCCATCAGGCAAACTTTAAATTACAAACTTGTGGTGATTACTTATAGTGCAAAATTGACATCAAAATTTGTACTCTACCATTTAGTTCACTAGTTCAAAGGCTGAGTACTTAGGTTTTGGATTGGCTTAAGCAGCAGACAAGCAATCTTCAAAATAGGGGTTAAATTGGTGACACCCACTTATGCTAGAAATCAAAATGTATTTTTCCCTTACAGGATGTATTAGATATAGGAGGATTAGTGGTTTGGGTCCAATGATTTCTTGATTGACTGCTTTGATCTGACATTTGTGCTGGATGTAGTCTACAATTTATGGGTATGAAGTAGTAAGTGTTCCTCATCAGAAAAAGGGTTTCAGATTGCAGTTTATGTTGGAAATGTGTTTTAGTTGCACAATGAAAAGTGGGGTCAGTAACATACAAAGAAGTTATGACTATTAAACCCATGCTATAGGACAGGGAAGTTCAGTTTGTATTGGTTCATGGGATGATTGACATGAAATGCACAGCTTTGTGCCAATGTTTGAATGCATCCTGTTTTGTGCCAATGTTTGATGACTTAACTTCAGGATAAGCAGATAACATTGAGCTGTTGAACCCCATTTGTCTTGTTTGGCAATGCCTTGGTCCTGGGATGAAGAAGCTCCTCAGACATCAGCATGAAAGTAAAAGATAGTAAAATCAGTCTAGTCATTTACCAGACTAAGCACTAAAACACTGAGTAGCAGTGATGTTTAAAATTGGTTTTAAAAGGCAACCAATTCACATTTTTGGGCAGGGTTAGGAACCAATACTGTGAGTAAATAACACATTGCCAATATGTTTGGATGGAATACTTAGGATGGCATTTGTTTGCAATTGATTTGATGAGCCTTAATTGCACCCACTGAGAGGCAAGTTAGAAAGCCTTTCTGTAAGCAGCTGGATAGACACATGTTAATGTGACAGCTGGCAGTTCAGCGCCATCAGTTCAGCTCATTCTGGAATGCTGATGTTTGTGATTAAATGAAATCCATGATAAAGTAGTGCCACCCAATGCATTTAATTGAGTTTTGGTCAGACATTCTGTAAGTTGTAACAGTTCTCGACCCTAGAGATGCTATGGGCCTGTTTCAGTGCCTCCAGAGAGCGTTCCAGCGCCTCCAGAAAGCTCGCCAAAGCTTCAGAAACCTCCAGTAGCCTCCAGAAAAAAAGGACTTTTGACTGATATTTTACAACTTGAATGTAATGAAAATTACATTGCTATAATTTTGCTAATCTTTCTTACTACAATTGAAAACAAACTTTGCGTTTCAAGGCCGGAGAACAATCGTCATTCTTTCGGTATTTGTGACGCCAATCTCCAGAAATCTCCAGTCAAGAGTTTCTATTGGAGGTGGTGGAACAGGCCCTATGTCCAGTCCTAGAACCATAAGTCTGCAACAGATTCCTGTGACAGTCTTCAACCAAGAGATATCATGCTCAGTCCCACAAGTCAGTGGCAGATCTGACCCCCTGAAAAGTGTGCATCGGTTGGCCCGCGCTCATTGACCAGGTTTTCTGGTAACCGGCGATGAATGGTCTCCCTGTTCCGGGAGGACCGTGTCGCCATCTGTGAGCGGCACAGTAAACTTTGCTGCTGTACGGGACCGGGTGCGCCGCGAGCGTAGTGTCCCCGGGTAGCCGGCCTGTGGGCGTGCTACGAGCTCCGTTAGCAGACGTTAGGGCCATGGTCTGATTACTAACTCGAACTTAATTTAGATAATGGACAGTGAAGCAGGGAAAATTGAACCATTTGTTCTATCAATCCATCGCTTATTCCAACCAACTGCTTGGCGGTACTGGGGGATATCCAGCAGTGACCGTTTATGCGTCAGCTGTGGTATACGGCTCAAATGGACTGGATGGATCGTGCGTTGTTGGTCATTGGTGTGACAGGTAACTGACGCCGCTCTCCCTCTCCGCAGAGATGGCCACCGACAAGGACGAGCTGGTGCAGCGGGCCAAGCTGGCCGAGCAGGCCGAGCGCTACGACGACATGGCCGCCGCCATGAAGAGCGTCACAGAAACAAGTGAGTAGGCCTTAGACAGGGTCGCATCTGTGCTGAGTGGTTACTGCCCACTAGCTCGGCTAGGTAGGTCGTGGACTCGTTGAGTCGCTCCGACGCACTATACAGGCCTTTTCTGGAGATTGGTGACGGCTAGTGGGGACCGACTGAGGTGACTGCTGAATGAAAGCGCCGAATAGGCTCCTCGATTGTGTTCAGCCCGTGCGGCGGCATTATTTCATGATCGGATGGTGCAGGCCAGAGCCTGAGCGGAAAGGTTTGCGTAGCTCAGACTCGACTTGCAGAGGTTTCCCACGGGCAAGGTATTTAGCTATTCAAAATGTATCGTATATGTAATGTAAAATGTATAGCTATTCAAAATATTTATAGCTATGTCCTTGTCGTCCTTGTCGGTGGCCATATGTATAGCTATTTAACATGTAAATAGTCCACGTGGGTGTCCGTCTCCCGGGCTGACGGATGGTCAGGGCCCCGTTCGATCCGCTTCCATGCCGTTCATTTTCCCACAGCGGGGGTGGCCCGCGGTCAGTGGCAGTGGTCGCGTTACAAAGTCTGTTCGGGGTGAACTATGCTGAGCTTATTTGAGCACGTCAAACATTCGGCGAAATCCCGCCGTGCACGTGTAACTTTCGGATACGGATATCGGCACACGGGATTTGTAAATGCGCTGCGCAGATGGGGTTTGGAAGGCATTCCATACAAAACATATAAGCTGCTGCCCTTGATCACGTACTTGCGGAATGTTTGGACAATTCCATATGGGCGGTACCATAGAAGGACCTTGTTGAACCATTTATCAACTTTAAATCTTCAAGCGGGGCTGGCAAATGAACCAGGCTTATGGGATTGCCTATACACAGAACTTTTGTCATAGAATATGTTCACCAGTTTGTTATTTCGCTCATCTTCAAAAGAAAATGTATGTCGCGTGATATGACTTAAAAAGGGTTGAATGCCGCCGTTTTCAATCTTCGTTGGACGGAACGTGATGCTGGCGGTGCAAAAGAAAAAAGAAATGTTTGGTTACTTGGATCCAGACATGTGCATGGATCCGAGAAAATAGATCTGGGATCTGATCTCGGATCAGACAGGAGTAGATCTAGCCCTAATTTATCGAGGGATCCGTAGGGATCACAGATCCGAGTCTCATTTTTGCTTGTGATCTAGTGAGAGCATAGATCCTCACTTATTTTTCGTCAACACAGAAATCCCCCAAAACACTTGTAACTCACAAACGTTCTCTTTTAGTGATCTCATGTGATTGCGCGTCATAATCCATAGTTTGTTAGCACTTGTTGACATAGCAACCCTTTTAAAATATGGTTCCAAATGTTGTGCATGGTGGGATCCACCTAGATCATAGACCCATGTTCTTGGTTTATCGTTAGATCGTTTGAGATCATAGATTCAAGGTTAATTTTTCACGCCGCATCCGACGGGATCATAGATCCTTACCTGCAGTTTGCTCCGAGATCCACTGGGATCGTAGTCGCTCGGATCCATGCACATGTCTGCTTGGATCCCAGGCAGATCATTCTGGAATGTAATAAGCGTTTGGCCAGTTGAACGCTCTCACGGCTTCTGCTTAGCTTCAGCCTAGCTTCAGCTTCAGCGGCGGGCCCTTAAGCCCCATTAAACCAACAACAACGGGCAGCGTCCATTTTGTTGTTGGTGAACGGTGTTTACCTTCGCTGAGTGCAGTAGGTAGCTCGTGGGCTGTTCAGTGCGTCCCCACTCCGCTTACGCTTACCACTGTCAATGCCATGACGTCAGCATCTCTGCTTCTTGCAGCATTCGCTGATGTTTCCGAGATATCACGATAAATTTTTGCTTCTCTACCAGGACAAATTGTTTTGTACGTCTAAAAAGCATTCACTGGTTACCAACGTTGTGCCAACCGCTTTCTGCTTAGTTACGATACAAAATGCGTTGTCGGCTGCCGAAGGATCGATAAATGCGAGTAGTGATGAACTTTTCCCGGTTCTACTCAATTTCGTCTAGTCTGATATGAGCGTTCTTGACATTACTGAGAAACAAAATTGGTAGCCGTTAGCGTGCTTCCTGATGATCGGCGTTTTTTGGCCTTGGGACCTGAAAGCCACGTGTTTCGTGCTGCCTACCGATGAGGCCGATAATCACCAGCCGGTAACTCACATGTATGTATATGGCAAAAGTGTTAGCAGCTTTGTGTCCTGTTACGGGAGGTTACTACCGAACCGTGATCAGGATCGGTCTAGTTATGACAGCGGAGCGACATCAATTCATTCAAAATTCTTCCATCACTTAGGAGCCACCGTATGTGGGCGTATCTATGTACTGAGCAGCCGAAGTGTCGGCCGTGGAAGGATGAGTGATGGTGTCCGCGCAAATGTGCCGCGTGTTCGAACGGGCCAGAACTAACGGGGAGGCTCAATTCATTCAATCGGTTTGACTCGTATACCGTATCTCTCATCTCGTAGCGTGTTATGGGCGTCGATGACCAATGCTGTTCGGCGTGCAGCATTGGTCATCCATCAGTTTCATGGGACTGATCCGAAACGTATTGACCTGTGATATGTTGAATTGTTTGTCACAAAGTTTGAGAGGGCCGGTCGTGCCACTGCGGGTCTGTCTTGCTGTAGGTGGCTCACATTGTCGCACATTATGAAAGCTTCATATGGGGCATTCGGTCGAGATCAAGATATGTTTACGATAAACTTGAACTCGTCATCCGGTCGGTGCAATTATGTGGATGGGTAGTCACATTGCTGCCTGAGATACAGTCATGCTCAAGTTGCTTGCACCCTATTCCCTAACCTATTGACCTGCTTTTGTCGCGCCACCCCTGGCCAGCTCGGGTCATTCGATTGACGTGAGGCCTGTCCGATTTCAGACAACGAGCTCAGTAACGAGGAGAGGAACCTGCTCTCTGTGGCCTACAAGAACGTGGTCGGCGCCCGGCGGAGTTCCTGGAGGGTCATCTCCAGCATCGAACAGAAAACAGAGGGCAGCGAAAAGAAACAGCAGATGGCCAAGGAGTACCGCGAAAAGGTCGAAAAGGAGCTCCGCGAAATCTGCAACGATGTCCTGGTACGTACTTCTAGCAGGAAGTGAAGGTAGTTGGAAGTGTGCGTTGACGACTGCGCTAGTGCGTTTGTGTTTTGATTTCAATTTGGGTGATGCTGGGTTCTTGATGCGTCTGGTGATCGCCTGTGCAGTGCCGCCATGTTCAGTTAGTCGATCTCGGTGGCAGAATACCGTAGTGACCGGCCGCTTCCTGTTTTCAGCACCTGCTGGACAAGTTCCTCATCCCCAAGGCCTCCGTGGCGGAGTCCCAGGTCTTCTACCTGAAGATGAAGGGAGATTACTTCAGGTACCTCGCAGAGGTCGCGACGGGAGACGCCCGCACCGGTGAGTGCCAAATCGTGAATCTGGTGTGGGGCACACACTGGAGAACGCGACCAAGTGTCTTGTCGCGTTGTTTTTTTGACGGGACATCCGGGTTTTATGTGATGTGTTGTAGAGTGTATAGACGCCGCTAGATTAGTTTTCTGGCGAAATGTTTTGATGACGAGTATCTGGTTATCTGTTAAATCCAACTTGCTCTAAATGTAACTGGTAACTTTTTTGCAGCCATTGTTGACGACTCTCAGAAAGCCTACCAAGATGCATTTGAGATCAGCAAGACCAAAATGCAGCCCACCCACCCCATCCGGCTCGGGTTGGCGCTCAACTTCTCAGTGTTCTACTATGAGATCCTCAACTCGCCCGAGAAGGCGTGTCAGTTGGCAAAACAGGTACTGACCCGTGACTACCGTGTGCCCAGTGTAATTATGTTCTCTCTTCTCTCTCAGCCGTTGTGAGCGACAGCCAGAAGGCCTATCAGGATGCGTTTGACATTGCCAAGGCCAAGATGCCCTCAACCCACCCTATCCGGCTGGGACTCGCCCTCAACTTTTCCGTTTTCTACTACGAAATCATAAATTCTCCCGATAGGGCTTGTCACTTGGCAAAGCAGGTATGGGCCACGTCGGTGGCGGTTTATGCAGTGCCTTTCTCTAATATCTAGTCCTCTAATTGTAGTCCGTAGCCTTCTGGACTAATGCTTCCCAAACTTTCAAGACTTCCTTTTGTTCTAGAGTATTTTTGGGCGTTGCCCGGTTTCCCAAATGCAACGTTTATTTTGTGCTGAGTGCACATGTGTGTGTGTGTGGCCGATTTGTAGTGCAGTCTCAGGGCTGCTGCATTCAACCAGAGTGTGTGGTGAGCCTGCTGTGTTTTACGACTAACAACCGTGGCCGTGGCAGTCTGCTAACATTGGTTTGCGGTTTATTTGTGCGTCCTGAGCGCAGACTGCGCCTCTCATGTGGTCCCGCGTGCTGTTGTCTTCAACGATTGTTGTCTCTCCGGCTGTCTCTCCGGATTGTTCAACTCGTTGACCCGTGCTCTCGTCTGGCAGGCCTTCGATGACGCGATCGCAGAGCTTGACACGTTAAGTGAAGACAGCTACAAAGACTCCACCCTCATCATGCAGTTGTTGAGGGACAACCTCACGTTGTGGACGTCAGATGCTCAGGTCAGTAACTCGACGTCGCCCACGGGAAGGGAATCAGGGTCAACTAAGAAAAACAAGGGAAATACTAGTAAAATAATTGTCACGTCATGGCCTCTTACATTTTTTTTTTTTTTGCCCCGTATGTCCACGCAGCCAATATCAACTTGTAATAGACAAAACCTGCGAATGGTTAGCTCGTGAGAGTGCTTTAAAGTTGAATTAAATGTGTGGCTGGTATCGGGCGCATTATCCTCAGTGAATGTCGCTAACTGATATGTTCTGTGTCGTTCGCAGGGTGAAGGTGACGAACAGCAAGAAGGTGGTGACAACTGATGAATTTAATTGAACTGTTGTGTGAACTATGTATTGAGCGTCCGGGCCGAGGCCCGCGCGCGCCCGAGCGTGAGCTTCTGGATCTACACGTCTGCTCCGCGCGCGCGCGCGTGTGCGCTTGGTACGACCTGATCAGGAATGCCCGCTTCGAGAGTGCTTTCTTTTGTAAAAGCTGGTTCAGCATGGGCAATGTGACACTGTTGGGTGGCGTGTCATGCGGCAGAATGTCGATTCAAAAGCATCCGAACCGGCCCAGTCCCGTGAGGCACGAGAGTACCTTCTGGCGCTGCCTCGTAGGTCATTCCAGTGCACCTATTATGTCAGTGTAAGTGATTGTGTTGCTAACATCTGCAAACTTTGCTCACAAGTTTTATAAGCCAGCAGAGATAGATAGTTGTTTTCTTACCAAAGTTTGCATGTTTTGTTCGTAACCTGCCGTTGATGTGTTTAGGAAGTCTTGCTTTACCGCGGGCTTTTTGAGGGCCAACGGCATGTGTCCAAATTGGGAAGCGTGACTATTCTTCGCCCAACTGTGAAAAGTACACTGGCACTGTGACCTCAAGCGAATGGTGTGAGCCATTCTGCGCAACTAGGGTTTTGCTGGGTCTCGCTGCAATCGATCAAACCGAGTCGGCTCTTGCTGCTGTTTGACCGAATCGAATGACTATCAGATGCCGTATATGTTATGTTGAATGTGAGGTGGTCGTCAAATATTTTGGCTCCAAATTAGCTGTTTCAATGCATCCTCTTGTTGGTTGTAATTCGTCCGATTCGTCACTACTCTGGTACCGGTATACAATAAAAACGCAAAATTCGTTGACTTTCACACCATGTGTTGGATGTGGCAGGAGTCACTTGTAATGCCGGATGTATGGCCAGTGGTTTGTCGGGAACGGCACGGGGTGGCCGGAGTTGCCGCAGAATTACGCCCCCTCCTGCCCCCTCATCCAGCCCCGTTAACGTACAGTGGATCTAGTTAGGATCTCCAGACGTAACTAGATGGCGTTGAGCCTTAGTCGAGTCCATGTCAAATTCAAGGGGAGGTCAGTACCGAGCTGGGCACGGTGGGGAGGTGGGGAGGGGCGAGGTCACGGTGCGGGTGACCTGTCAAACAGCCCCGGCGCAGCTAGGCGCTGCCGTAGGCAAAGGACGCATTCCAGCCGGCTCGCTGTTCCATATCTCGGTGGCGGGCCTGGCGGCCCGTAGCCTGGCTGCTTGGAGGGAAAGGATAAAGGCATGGGTTTGCCGTGGTCGGTTCATCTATTGTCACCTATATGACGCACTCAAAGTGCTGCATATGTGATGTTGGTAATGCATGATGCTATGGTATAGGTATTATTGTTGGTAATGATTGTGATGTTGGTAATGCAGCTGGCAGTGGAATACTAGCGAATGCTCCGAGCGCCGAATAGCTCAAGGGATTAAGATTCTAAATATAGCCTGAAATTTTCATTGAAGATAATTCCAGCACCAGAAATACCTATCCTTCACCAGTTTTGGACTGGCTGGTGTTTCTTGCGTAGAGCGCCTTTTGACAAATAATTGTCATGGCCGGCGATTTTTTTTTTTTTTTTTTGTATGACGGGTCACATCGGACTAAGGTCATTTAGTCGCTAAAAGGTGATGAGAAAAAGTGGACGAGTATCGCATTTGTGTGCATAAGGTTTCGTATTAAAAAAAAAAAAAATAAGCCAAAATAAGTTAAACAATAAACAAACTCATAAGAATATATGACCTGAAACTAGCTTCTGTTTTGTATGATCATGATTGGGTGTAAGACCCCGGTCCAGCCTGGTTCAACCCGGTCTAATGGGTGCTGGAAATGAGGCCGCTTTCTGGTCCAGGCGTTTTATTCTCCGGGCGGGTTAATCCCGTCCAGCGTTTAGCCTTTCGAGACCCACTCAGGGTCGCGGTTGTTTTTGCCGCGCGCCCCAGTCGAGATGCAAAGTTAATAGTCACACGAAGCTTATTTAGGGCCAGCCAAACCAGCCTAGTCTGGAGTCACTGTTAAATGTATGCATATAGATGAAAGAAAAAGGTTTTGTAGAATCGATTAGTTTCGAAGTCGTATATTCAGGGGCCTCAAATAAAGTTCGTGTGACTATCAACTTTGCATCTCGAATGGGCCGAGCGGCGAAAACAACCGCAGCTTTGAGAGGGTTCCGAAAGGCTAAGCGCTGGACGGGGCTAACCCACCCGGAGAATAAAACGCCGGGACCAGAAAGCGGCCTCATTTTCAGCACCTGGTTCGGCTCCCTCATTTACCTTCGGGCTTGGCCTCGTGACATTCACAGACGTCAGACATTCAACAAACAATTTTGGCGGAAACACTATCCAGCAAGCTGCGCAGGGGCGCAGGGTGACAGGTGTTCGTAGCCAGAGGTGAAAAAAAGCCTGCTACTCGCCTGCGTGCGTAGGCGACAGCCATAGGAATAAACAGACAGATTCGAGCATCTCAGTTGATGCATTTAAAGTAGATAACTAGGCCGTTTCCACTACAATCAGAGCTGTCTTCCCATAGAAGACCACTATGGACCACGGCACAAAAATTTAACAGCGTCATCTCTTTGTAGACAGCTGGGGCTGAAAAATCCCGCCGGTGCGACAGCCGGTGCGTTGTGAAGCGCCATAGACAACGCAGGAAAAACGGCGACAGCGCGACAGCTCGTCCCCGCTCGTCGCCGGTTGAGCGGAGGCGGGGACCGGCGCGGCCTTGGCCGCCGACGGAGTAGGGAGGGACCGGACGATGGGACGGGGGACGTCACATCTGGGCCACAACTGAGGCGAGGTCCATGACCATCGGTCCCAGAAACTTGGTAGGAGCGTTGATAATTGGTCTTGACTACTGAAGCAAAGATAAGTGAAGCAGTGACAACTGACAATCCTTTCGTGAGTTCTGATTGAACTGGATCAGGAAGCCAGGACGAGCTAGGAAGTCGATCAGAGCTATAGGTAAGTTTAATGATAGTGATTTATTTTTTGTTGTGTGACTACTGAAATGTGGTGTTGCGTTGTAATGCCCAGAGGCTGAAATTTGAAAGATCAGTTTTTTTCTAACCAGGGCTGCGGAGTCGATGGATTTACGGCGACTCCGACTCCGACTCCGACTCCGGCTTTCAAAAACCAACTCCGACTCCGACTCCGACTCCGGGCAGAAATGTCGACTCCGATCGACTCCAACTCCCGACTCCGACTCCGCACACCTGGCAGGGCTGCGGAGTCGACAGATTTTTGGTGACTCCGACTCCGACTCCGGCTGGGGTTTCCAATATCGACTCCGACTCCGACTCCGACTCCGACTCCGCAGCCCTGTTTCTAACATTCTAGCCTCATTTTCAAATGTACTTTTTAGGCCTCAAAGGTGATGAGAAAACGGCAAAAAAATGGTACCTACTGTTTCAAGATGACTTGTGAAAAATTGGCGACAGCTAGACATCGCGCAGGTGACAGCTTTTGAGTTTTATTCACCTCTGTTCGTAGCGTTGGGGCTGGGTGATCTGTGTGCCGAGTGCGATGTCGTGGGTTCGAGCCCCACACTGCTCTGGTTTTATCTAGACACTAGCCAAAACCTTCCCTTTTACTGCAATACTGACAAGCACGGTGATTTATCTTTCCCGATATCCTCTTAACAAAGTCAAAATTGTCGCACCCATATATTTATTTTAATGTTTTGCTGAGTTTCATGAATTTTCATTTTTTTATTTTTGGTCGTTTCTCTGGACCCATTTCAACTCGTGGTTCTTTTCGATCCGATAAAAAAAACCATCAAGGCTGAGCGTGCCAAATAATGAAAGAAATTATGCAACTGAATATAAATTTTAGAAAAGCCTTTCACATCATGCAAGGATCGACTGAAAGTATAGGTCCTAGATTTCAATTATGATTGGTTTACATTTTTGCTGCAAGTTTGAGGCGTTGCCTTTCGCTTACCCGTTTGTTTGAGATAGCTATTCCCTTCAGTCGCATTCTTGCTGGCTTCACATGAACAGGGTGTTGTTTCACCGGCGATCGCAGGACGCTGCTATTACTACGTGTCAAATTGGGTTTCCATGGAGACGTTAACAAGCCCATTGCTCCAACACTACCACAAGTGTGACGTCAGCAGATATCACCGGTGAAACACCACCCGGGATACCACCATACCTGAGGGAGCGCACCCGCAACCAGCATCCCCTCCCCTCAGCCGCGGCGCAGTGGCGGGCGGCCCACTCCCGGCGCTACGCACGCTCCACGCCGCGATAGCAGCGCGTCACCCCTCCCCCTCCCTCCTCCCTCCACAATGACCGGTGACCTCGCTCCCCCCGAGAGTTGGACTCGCCCTACCCCGACCGTAGCGCCACGTGGTGGCTCTGGAGATCTTAAATAGACCCACTGTACGTTTAGGGTAAAGGACAGGACAATGTAGGGTGAATAGCGGACGTGCACCGTGCCCGCGGGGGGGGGGGGGGGTGAGAACGAGGTCTACGTGAGTGAGACTACCCTTGCTCGTCTGTTGGTTGGTCCCAATAGGCTAGCAGATGCTGGATACAAAGATCCAGCGCTGCTGAATACAGCCCTTCCCTCGTGGTCGATTGGGTTAGTCTCGTGGGTTGTCATTTATTGCTTCATGCACAGAGCAAGGCAAGAGCGTAAAAACATCGCTGGTCGGATCTGGATGAATTCTCCCCAGATGCAAGTTATCAGTCTGCATTTCAAATAGGAATCCGTGAGCACAATAGCGATAAATCACCAGGCTGCTCCTAGCTCCTGTGTCTGGCTTCTGGCTGTCTCGTGTCTTAATCACTGTCGAATCGCTGTCATACTCAAGATGATGCTATCTGAATCGCTGACGTACTATTCCAGCTCCACCGCACGTGGGGCGACCCTCGACGAGGGACCTCGCGTTTAGCCCCCGATGTCCAGTGCCGTCAGCGCCACCTGTGAGCTGCTTACCCACTTACGTTTGACCAGGCGATGGCTGCGACCTCTGTGGTCACTGGTCAGGTCCGTTTGGGCGTAGGTAGTGGTACTCTCGCGGACTGCATTGCAGCGGAAGGTTGTAAACACCGCTGCACTGTTCTTACGGATGCATCACAGGAACCCTTAATATCATGAATGTCTCCATATTCTTGTCTGGGCTACAGTCTACGAATAAATCGCCATGCCTAGCTCGGCACCAGGTCGTTGAACTGGTTCTCGATAATCCACACGAGCGGAGCTTCCACGGCCTTCACGATGATCGTTTTCAGCATGCTGGGGAAGCTCTGCGCGCCCACGTTGAGGGCGTAGTCCATGCTGCCGAGCCCCTCTGCCCGGAAGGTCAGCTTGCCGAGGTCGACGTCCAGGTCGTCGATGCGCGGCCTCTCGCGGAGCGTCAGCACCTGCGCCAGCCGGGCGCGCAGCTTCAGACTGTCGACGCTGAACTTGACGAAGCCGCTGCGCTCGAGCAGGTTGAAGCCGCGCACGGTCCAGCGGTACTTGCCGGTGACGCGCTCGGTGCCGAGCGCCAGCGTGGCCTTGGCCGTCTGGTCGAGCACCCCGAGCGCCACGTCCCCGGAGCGCTTCAGGTTGCTGAGGCCGGTCAGCACGCCGTGGCTCAGCTCCACCTGACGGGGCGGCCGGGGTGCTAGTTAGGCTGGACTGCAACTCACGAGTGTGAGGCTAGGGCGTGGGTTACAATGGCCTTGAGTCGGTCACAGAGCTCCACGAATTCACAGCTGGCAATGGAACAGCGCGGGATCGCATTTATTGAGCTAGCGTCATGTGTGCTGGAACAATGCTACATATATTCGGTCAGGTATAAAAATGGTAGATTGCAAATGCCAGCACACAACGTTCGTGAACATATTACATAACAGCAATAATCTCACGCCACTGCATTTCTGTGCACTTTCCACACTACCCTGACTATCCAGGAACTATCCCGACCAGCGTACAGCACCCGTTTTTTATGTGTACTGACCTCCACGCCGGAGCTAGCCTGGCTGATGTCCGGCAGCGGCAGCGGGTCGTAGCCGGCCTGACGCACCCTCTTCCTGGCCTCCAGGACGGCCGAGTCGACCATGGCGAACGAGCCCGTCAGCATGCGCTCCTCATCGAGCTCCCTGGGCGGTGGGGAGAGGGTCAGATGGGGCAGTGTTGGCAGCAGCGGCGCGGAGGGGTCGGTCACTGTCAGGGGACATCCATCATTACGAGTTATTTGTACGTACCCACATTTACGATTTATGCTATATTATATTTTCTTTATTCTAAGTCATGCGGTCACTTACGCTCTGAATGCATAATATGCAGTTTCCTGAGCAATGAGCATGCACGGCATCTGTATAAGTTCCGTCGCATTAGTATTCCATTCACCTCCCCACTCTGCGAAGGCGGTGCGGTCGGAGGTTCTACATTGGCACACCAGCTCTGGTCCTGACAGCCCGCGAGTGGTGCTGCTTATCACAGAGGTAGCCATTTCCGCCTGCGTGTGCCTCGTCCCAGAGGGGGGGGGGGGCACGCGACACGGTACCTACACTGAGCGAGGTCCAGGGCAGGCCCCAGTCGCGTGCCAACATCGCTAATATATATCCGCTCTAGGAATGACCCAGAAGACTGCCGGTGGGTTTGTCACTGATTTTGGCTTGTGAGTGAGCTGGAAACAGCTGTGAACTCGCTGTTTGCGAGAAACTGACTGTAGCAAAATAATTAGACCCATGATGTAAATCACAAAGTCTTCGTGCATCTCTGATGCACCAACACGGAGGTAAGGGGTGCTGACTTGAGGTGCGGCCGGCAGCGGTTTATAAACTGACAGGTGGCGAGGGGTATATATGTAGTACCTAAGTACTGACTTGAGGTGCGGCCGGCGGCGGCGTTTTTAACTGACGCGGTGGCGCGGGGTAGGTAGCAGGTAGGTACTGACTTGACGTGCGGCTGACAGTGCCGCTCCAGGTAGCCGTTGACGCGGTCCAGGGTGCTCGGCTTGATGACGTCAAACAGGTACGGACCGAGCGCGCCAACGGCCGTCTGGACGGCGCCCTCCACCAGCAGCGGGCTGCCCAGGTCGGCATGGATCCGCGCATACGTCACCTCCACGTGACTGTGGCCCGAGTTCAGCTGGCGAGAGGAGAGGGACGGGGTCAGCTGTGGCAGGGGAGGGGCGGGGGTCAGCTGTGGAGACGGGCGCAGATACTTATCTTTAATCTTGGTTAGGTGCAGGAGTTAGCTGGAGAGAGGGGGGGGGCAGTGAGAGCAGAAATACAGAAACTAGGTTTTAGCTTTTTCGAGGCATTGGCATTGCTGTACTTCGTGTGGTCTGTGGTCCGTGACTGACCAGAGACGTCTTAAAATTCCCATCACGGCTCACTCACCCGAACGGTGCCGTTGCCGCAGACGTCCAGCAGGCCCCGCCCCCTGGCCGTGACGTCATACATGGAGATGGTAAAGTCGCCCTCCCAGGCGCGCCAGTAGTAATCGAGCACGTACTGGCCCAGGGTGGACAGCGCCGGAAACTGCAGCTCGTACGTGTACTGGGAACGGCGGCCGAGGGACGGTCACCACGCGGAACTGACCAGCACACGGGTGGTTCGAGGTCACGTCAGGGCTTCTGTTCGCAGCACACACTGTCTCCAATAACTAAAACCTATGGCGCTAATCCAATGTGTCGATTGGACCCCGCTGTCATGCAGAACAATCTACCGTCAGGCGCTAGCTCCTACTGCCATCTAGCGACAATTAATCCCCCTACGTTGATGTGTGCTATGTGGCACAGCCTACCTTCAGGCGCAGACTCGTACTGCCACCTAGCGGCGAATAATTCGTCACATGGATGTGAGTTGAGCGGCACAGCCTACTTTCGAATGCTGACGCGTGCTGCCATCTAGCGGCAAATAATTCGTATCACGTCAATGTGTTATGCGGTACAGCCTACCTTCAGGCGTTAACGCTAGTGACATCTAGTGACATAAATAGCACTCAAAGCTTATCTAGTATAGCATAGCGCAGACCCAAACAATGTGAGGCAGGTTCGGGCAGAGGACTCCAGTTTGGAGTAGCAATGCGACTGACCTCGTGCCCTTTCAGGTCGACCTGCACCAGTTTGACCTCGTAGTCGCGCATACCCGTCAGGACGATGTTGTTGAGTCGAAAGGTGGAGCCGAGGATCTCCTGTTCCAGCGAGGCCGGGACGGGCAGAGGGTCCTCCATGATACCACCTGGCGAGGAGAATCAGAGACAGTAGTTGGTAGGTAGCACTGCGACAGATCCCTGTGCTGGTCGAGAGTGGACGGTGCTAACCGCTAACTGCTAACCGAAGGCTCGGTGCTAATGAAGACGGGGATAGTTAGTGAGCATCTGCCAGCAAAGGCATTTTTCAGGAACCCGAAATAAGAGGTGGTCATGATTACAATAATAAAACAACAACAAACAATATTGCCGATCCGTTAGCACACGTTGTATTCCATCAGGAGGAACCTCACGAATGGATGCTGGGTACCGAAGGGTTTTTATAGTGACCTCCTGAATGCTGGCGAATGACATGTGTTACGCGTCGCAATCGATAAGAACATGCTAGATGTGGCATTATTGCCCCATTCAATAAAAAAAAAAAACACCCGCACTGGCCTACTGAACGCAGGACACTGAGGCTGCACATGGGAGGAAGACCTGGTGACATTCATTTCAAACACATACTTGACAGGTCACGCATTGTACACAGTGCAGTAAAAAAAAAAAACGCTCCCATCTCCATTCCCCTATTTGCTCCCTTTGCCCCCACGAGACAGGTATCTCGCTAGTTCAGGGTCAGACATAGGGTCACGGTCCAGGCCGGCAATAAACTGTGCCCGCATTTCCTGATAGAGCTCGCGATACTTTTTCAGAAGGTCTGTCGACCTAGGAAGCTGCTCCGTCTCTATCATCAGAGAAGGGGTTTCGGTATCTGTTAGGATCGTGGCGAGGTCGTTCACAGCAATATCGGAGCCTTTGTCGTCATGCGTATCGAGTAAGCATTCGTGGTCGTTCCTGTTTCTCGATTCACACGAGTTTTCACTGCCCCCAGCTTGCCAGTTGGTGTCGTCCTTGTCGTTGGGTTCGATGCTGCTTCCAGTTGTGTGGGCTGCTCCCATGAGGATTGACGTGGCGTTACCACGGAGCACGGCAAGCGACACTCGCTGAAAGAGGTACTCTGTAGCCCTCCTGTCGCCGCTTTCACGTGCTATTCGCCGACCTACGTCCTTCAAGAACTGGACAGTGGACTGTCCCAGTGAGCCACTCGTTTCGACGGCGATGGGCTGGAACTTGAAACGCCTTTCCAGCGCTCCATAGCGGCGCCTCTTCCGGCTTTCGGCGGCTTCTGCTGCAGCTCCTGCATGGACCGCCGATTTACCGATGATGTAGCTGGCGTATGTATCGACGCAGGTGCTATCCCATATAAGGCACTTGCCTTCGGTGAAGGGGAAGGTGGTCATCCCATCCGGGCGCCGGCCGTCGCCGCGATCAAGGCCTGTTGGTTCCAGCACTGATGGCATGCCTGCGCTGTGCAGGGCGCGTTTTATGACATCATTCAGCGCGGAGTGTCGCGGCAGACGGCCCGCACTCAGTTGGCAAGACAGCGAGTGCAGCCCCAGGGTGTCGACGGTGGATCCGCACCGGCAGCGGTGAGGAGCACATACCGGAGCGCCGACTCGAAGAGCAACAGCTACTCTGAGAGTTTCATGGTCGAGAAGTGTTCCGAGACTGGGCACAGGCAGTGCGTTCAGCCATGCACCGGAGTGCGGCTGCGCTGCTGCGTGAAGTCGGGCACGGTGTCTGTCATCGGGACTAGCCTCGAGCAGCTTCGCAGCTTCAGCGGCTGCCGCGGTTAGATCCCAAACGCGCTGCCGTCCCTGTTCGGAGGCGTGCGGGAGCTCGAGCCCAGTCTCCACTTTCCACCGTTGGTGCAACGATGTCTCGAGCCGATCGATGCTCTCTGCCATGCTGGGGATGATGTCCATGATCAGGGGAGCGGAGGATCTTAGCGATGCAATATATGCTGGAAGAGCTAAGTCAGAGACCCTCCGGATTCCAAGTCCACCCAGACTCACAGGTAGAGTAGCCTGTCGCCATGATTCACCTTGCAGTGCCACATTTGTGACAGCCGTGATGCCTTGCCGAACAAGCTCGTCAAAGATATTCGTATATGAAGAGGTAGTCCACCCAGTATATATTGGGACGATCAACCCTCGTTGACGAGTTTATCGGCGGTTGGACGCTGGCCTACGCTAAATAGTTTGGCCGATTCGGCTGACTATTCGTATGGTTGGGCGCACGCTACATCAGCGATTTTGCCGTTTATCTTGGTATCAGATCGATCAGCAGATCGACATGTTGACTGGGTGTAAGGAAAACAGAGGAGTTGTGTGCGCCGGCGCCGCAGCTGTCAATTTTCCAACCTCCCGATGCCTTCGGCTACCTATCTTCACATACTAAGTTATGTATATTTACCTGTATGTAAATTACCTTCTGGGTAGGTATGTAGAAGAATACCTGTGCACTAGTAAACATAAATTTTGCTGTCAGGGTACTGGTTCAGTTAAGTTCACTTTCAAGTCAGAGAATTCGTTTCAGCCGACCATCGCCGAGTCCTGATTATGTATTCCCCAGACCGGACCCACGTCCTATCGTTAGTGTTGCCGTGAGTCTGAGAGGCTCACAGCCGGGTCAGTGCTCGCCTCCACAGGCCGTTGTTCCCGCCCGGCCCGGCGGCCCGGCGGCTGACGGCGGGGCGGGGCGGGTCAGTTGTTTACAGCCCCATCAGGTGTACAGTTAGCGCATTCTTACCTACCGGTGGAGCGGGACCGCGGCCGGCTGACACCCACGCCAGAACGGGCCCTCCACCACCGCGCCGGTTACTCTTTGGACGGCCGAGACCGAGTCGGAATGGGAGCCGAGACGGTTCCGTGTGACTGGTGAAATAGGTGTTTTATTCAACATAAACATCTATTTTTTATATAAGTAATTACCTCACCTATTCAAGTCTAAATTAAGCGAACACAAAACTTCAAAATTAGAAATAAACAATACCATCACGCTCAACGTGTGTAGATAACCGCAGGTTGTTTGAAAAGACAAACACTATTCGTTAGAATTGTGTTTTTCTATTGAAAAACAACCGGAGCGGTCGTTCTCCGGGCTATGTTTTGCATGTCTGGCCGCGAATTGGGGCAACTTGCTACCTGCCCAAACTACTGCAACGATTTTCGTAAAAATTTCAGGGTATAGACTTTCGAAGGCGATCTAGCTGATGGCACCGGTCGCTACTCGCTCAGAATTCTTTTGCGCGTGGCACGTGCGTTTCCATTTTCCCATGTTTAGTCAATGGGGGTTTGGGGGTCTTTTTGCGCCATCGGGAATGGCGGAAAAACGAGCCAAGAAAGGGGTGGTTTTCATCCCAGCATTTTATGGCAAACACGTTCCGGTACACGCCAGTGTGCGCCGTATACCCGTCAGAATCTCGGAACGTTTCTTTGCACGAGGTCAAAGTTGGAATTTTGCTGTGTCCCATGTTAAGTGAATGGAGAGTTTTGCAGCGATATTTTCATTCGCGCATTGTAAAAAATTATGTGTCACGATTTCGTTCAAACTTTCGAGAGATGTTGAGAAAGGAACATAGGATATGCTGTTTTGCTTCGTTAAGCTGTGCAAAATCGTTTTTTCTAATAAAGTTCGTTTGAAAATGGAAATTTTTAACATGGAAAGTCAATGGGAGCGTCTTTATTCCTCTATAACTTTTATCGTTAGTAATATATATAGGTGAAAAGTTAATATAATATACAACTTTTGATGCTCTTTCCACTGATGCATTGAACGTCACTGCACGATGTGCCGTTTTTAAGAAAAGCTGTAAAAAATCAGGGCTCGACTGTGACTTGAACCCAACCACATTAGAGTATACGAACAGGTGACGGGGATACCTCCCGTGTGCGGATGCGACACTGATTATTGCTAAATATTAGCAGTCGGCCGCCGTGGGGGCGCCTTGCAAAGCTTCTATCTCCACAACTGCTTGACTGATTCACTCGCGGTCTTTTGTGTGGGATAGCTCCTTCCTTTCTTACACGTAGTGTGCTATTCTCGATGCGTATGGGTGACCCCTAATGCACGTGCCACGTGCAAAACGATAAGGTGTCAGTTCGGTAACAAGTCTAATAACTCTGTAGTTATTTTGCCGATTGCGCTGATACTTGGCATGGATGTAGGCAACCGCCGGGCAATGCATTTCCATGTGTCACGGTTGGGGTGCAGCTGCACGTGCGCACGGGCAGGGTGACGATTCCAGATCTCGAGAACGGCTGGGCCGATTGTGATCAAAGTTGGCACACCGTTAGGGATCGGCGAGTAGGGTGCCGTGCACAAGTCAGATGGGACCCATTTGGCACGTGCGCACGTGCAGGCTGACGCTTCCAGATCTCAAGAACGGCTGGGCCGACTGTGCTCAAATTTGGCATACCGCTTGATACCGATCAGCAGGGCGCCGTCCACCAGTCATTTAGTATGTATTTCCATGCGCCACGATTGGGATACAACTGCACGTGCGCACGTGCAGGGCGACGCTTCCAGATCTCGAGAACGGGCGGGCCTATTGTGCTCAGATTTGGCACACCGCTAGAGACCGGCGAAAAGAGTGCCGTGCACAAGTCAATTGGGACCCAGGTTGCACGTGCGCACGTGCAGGGTGTCGCTTCCAGATCTCGAAAACGGCCGAGTCGATTGCACTCAAATTTGGCAAACCGCTAGAGACCGGTTAGTAGAGTGCAGTGCACATTAGTTCGTGGCACACCCGCTCCGGTCTGCACGTGCAAGGCTCATCCTCTCGTTTGGCGGCGGGCGTTTTTGCGGCGTTACAGAGGTGCTTGCTCAAACAACCTGCGGTCCCGCGATGCGGAGCCCAGCATCGCAGATGCTGGTAACCGCAGGTTGTTTGAAAAGACAAACACTATTCGTTAGAATTGTGTTTTTCTATTGAAAAACAACCGGAGCGGTCGTTCTCCGGGCTATGTTTTGCAAGTCTGGCCGCGAATCAGTACAACTTGGTCGCAGCCTAGACGAATCGCTCAATCTACGTAAAAAGTTCAGGGTATGGGCTCTCGGGGGCGATCTACCTGATGGCATTAGTCGCTACTCGCTTAAAATCTCGTGGCACGTGGCACGTGCGATTCCATTTTTTCCATAG